TGCGGCCGTGTTGGCACTGTTGCATCGTTGTATTGTGGTGCAAAGTTGCGGCATTGCAACTTTGTGGTGATGCGGCATGGTGGCGCAACATTACATACTAGTATGAGAAACATATGCTATGCTGTTGCTAGCCTATTATTTGGGTTTGTGAAAGTTGATTTTAGTGGTGATGTTTTAGTGAGTGTCGTCCTCTTGGAATAACTATAAGGGAATTGAGTAGAGAGGGGTTAAACACAATATCATTAAGTGTTTGAAAGCTAACCAAATTCAAATGTTTGTTTGCATAGAGACAATCATAAAACAAATAAATTTCTAAGTAATAGTCAAGGATAAAAGAGAGGACTTAGATTAAATAGCAATGTACAAATGCTTCTTAGTGTTCTAAATTCTAAGGCAAACAAAGATCAATAGTGAAAGTGAAGGCGTTTTGCATGTGCCAATGCCATTCTCATGGTCATTGGGCTATCACCTAAGTTCTAATTCCATTCTCATGGCAAATAGACTAGATGAGGCAATTAATCAAATACCTTGTGTGCTCTATCCCTTCCAACTCCCCTTTCTCAAGAGTGAGTTAGAATTGTGATAGGTTTGGCTATGGTGAATCCCTATTCTCATAGGTGAAGCACCAAATCCAAAATCCCCTTACAAAGTTGGGCCCTAACCAAGCAAGAGTCAAAACATTTTACCAAATTCACAATCAAATTCAATCTAAAGATATTGCAAGCCCTAGATTTTCCAATTCAATTCATGTTGACATTCATACAAGGCAATTCAATCTAAATCCCTAACTAGTTTAACTACTCATAATGAAATTGATAAACTAAGATCAATTAAAGTAATGAACAATAATTCAAACAACAAATTATGTGAAATGTAAAAGTAAGAAATTGAGAACTTAACTTGATAGAACTTGTAGAATGTAAATCTGAAACTGAAAGTGAAAGTTGCAATTACATATGTTAATCTCCCTCTAAATCTTCTCCAAAATATGATGGAATACAATGGATTTTTTGTTCTAAAGGGTTTGATGGAGAGAAGGTGTAGAGGGAGATTGGAAATTGAAAAAAGATGAAAATAATGCCTAAAAATACTTTATACTTTTGGAATTGCGTCTTTTTAACTGCTTCCAGAATGCTTGGTCACGATGGAGGTCACGGCGTGACCTTCATCGTGACTAGGCTTAAGCCTCATAGGTCTCTACTGGTCACAGTCAACGTCACACCGTGACCGCCACCGTGACCAGCATCTCTACACAGTATCTCTAGTTTCTAGACCATTTTTCATGTTGTAAACGTCCGAACTAGCGTTTGTGGTTTTCGTGAAAGTTGTATCTCTCTGTATTTCCTTTCTAATGCCACTTGAATCACGCTATTTGGATACTCCTAGCTCGAGATATGCTCAAATTACCGAGACTTCACCTAACAGAAAAAAGTTCAAAGCAGAATGGTGTCATGCTGGCAATCACGGCGTGAACACCAACATGACCCATGTTTTTACTTGAAAATGCATATTTCTTCATCTCCTTTGTTCCTTTGGGTCCCCGAGTCATGTCATGATACTTCCACTCGCATTATTTCATTTTCTTGACCTCTAATGACTCCCGGAACTTGCCTTTCTGTCAAGATGACTTCAAAACACAACCATAAAAAATACAACGTATCGAAACTTGCCTTTCTGTCAATAAAAAATATATAACAATAGAGCTGGTTCAGAGGATGTTAACTCACAAATGAAAATAGTACCCCATAGGGTCACAAGAGAATGTTCCAAATCATCAAATTTGATCTATATATGTGGCTTGATTGCTTAACTAAGTTCTTGACTTCTTCGATAATCTACATCAAACTGCAAAACGTAAGCCTAATCAAACTAATGGCGCAGGACCATCTTTGTCTCGCTCTTCCATGAAGCATGTGATGACTGACTCTTCATGGTCGACCCTTCTTTCTTCACCGCTTCTGTATTTGCGTCTGCAGCACGGCGATCACCACACATGGGGCAAACTATTCCTCTCGAATGTGAGTATATCATCAAGCATATCCAATGTAACAATGTGTTGGATCAATAATGGAAATGTAAAAATAACCTTACAGTAGCAAGTTACCACTGCAAAAAAAAATATAATCATTAGATGAATTTATCATTTCCAAACTACAAGTTATTATCACTGCTACTAAGATCCACCGAGCCTTTGGATTATTATCCACCAACTTTGAATCTCCCATACCCATGATTTCTCAAAGATAACTGCAAACAAACAGTCATCTAAAAAAGGCATACTAAAGAATTCTAAATCCAATGTATAAGTGCATCAGAATGCGCCACCTAATAAAAATGTAAAGTTAATTTTAATAATAATTTTTAATATATTACTCCATACTTACTTTCTTTTATGAAAAACAATTGTTATAAAGAATATTAATCAAATTAACCATGCCTATCCCTAAATCCCTAAGCTACGCACAGACACACCGTCATCTTCATTGTTCTTCGTGTTGGGTTTCTTCATCGGCCTTCTTCCTATAAAGGCACAGATTTTTTTTTTATTTTTTTTTGAAGGGAATAAAGGCACCGATTTAATTTGTAGATATTCTGTGCTGCAAGCCTGCAAGGTTTCTACTCTTCGTATTCCAATTTCCATGCCAATTAAACTTCTTAATGTTCCTTCTTATCCATGTCATCTGTTTATTATCTTAAATTAAAAGCATATGAAAAAACTCAACACTACGTCACTACCAATTATCAATTCCGAAGAAAAATCCATAGCAGTATATATTTGGGAGAAATTAAGCAAAGAGAAAAACTATAACCATTGTATCCTATTGAGTGAATTTAAATTCTAAGCAGACACAGACAAGAAAAAAAGGAGAGAGGTGCATCTTTGAGTCCAAACAAGTAGTGAAGAAGAAAATTTCTTATCCAAAACCTTCACAAAAAAAAAAAAAAAAAATTGATCAGTAAAGTTGAAGTAGGTGATTCTAGAGCCAGGCAACCAGCAACCAATGAATAGTGTAATAAATTATTAGATGATGAAAAATAATCTTGAGGACTTTTATGTCTTTCTTATCTTTGGACAGTTATAACTGCCAAGCTCTACGTCCAGAGTATATATGTTGCTTATGTCTGTTAATCTTTTACTAGAAATAATAACCTTCTTCTCTCTACTCTCGTTCCCTCCTTCCCTCTTCTTTTCATGCGATAGACAAATCGACATGGTATCAGAGTAGCGGCGCAACTACGCCGCCGTACTCACCGGCGTCAGCGACACCAATCATGTGGCTACGCCGGTCAACCAACCTCCGGCTCATCCAGTACCTGAGTTGAATCCGCAGGGGATTACAACACCTCAGGTTCACAGAAACTTCAACTCTGGAGATCTAGAAGATCCTCTATACTTAAATGCCAACAACAGCCCGTTGGCTGTCCTCGTGACTACGCCGCTTGCTTGGCAGCTCAAATTATGGCACCTGGAGTGTCTCTATGCGAATTGGTCTGGAAGTGAAGAACAAGTGGACGTTAGTGGATAGGAGCACAGTGCCACCGAGCAGAGATCAGCAACATTATCCAGCTTGGAGGATGTGCAATTTGATGATCTGCTCTTGGATCTTCAAATCGCTACATCCTTCGATAGTGCAAAGTGTGATGCACTTTGATCACGCCAAAGACATATGGGAGGATATGAGGAAACGCTATTCACAGAGGGATGCACAACGACTTTCAAGTCTACAGAGTGAGATCCACAATCTAAAACAAGGAAATCTATCTGTTAGACCTGACCTGACCTGTTATTTAAGTCTACAAGAGTGGTCAATTCTTTTATTTTATTTCTTTCATTCTTTAGACCTGACCTGTTATTGGGGTTTTTGGGTCCGTTCTTTATTTAGATTTCTTTAGATTAGTATGGGCCCAATCTAAATGGCTAAGTATGGTTTATGGTCACTTTTGAGCCATCTTTTATTAGTCCTTCTAATTCCTTTGATTAATAAAATATATTTTGTTAAAAAAAAGTTGTACATCATATTAAAAATGTTGTACTTTATTTTTTCAGACAAAAAATGTCATGTTAAATATATGTTAATTAAATATTAAATAGTAAATGAATTTAGAAAATAACAGATGATGATAGGGAAAATCTTAATTATTTCGACCAATTTAAAAAATAACAAAATTACTTAAACGGAAGCACCGAAATATATTTATAAATACATAAAGCAGTCTAAGATGGGAGATCAGAGGTGTTCTCAATTCAAGTAACCATGCATGCAGGTGAAGGAATAAAAGTTGACCGTCATTTTAAGTTAGTAGGGCTACTGTGCTAGTTTACAACTCTATTGAGCTTGAAAATTCTTGAAAAATCCACCCTTTATAATATGGATTGATCTGATGATAATATGAGACCGTATGGTATGATGATGATATGATTTGACATGGATATGATATGATATGATTATGCCAATGAGATTATACTTACTATTGTTCGTATTGAGATACTTTAAAATGGTTATACTTATGATAGGAAAAATCTTCAATACTTCAACCAATTTAGAAAATAGCAAAATTACACTACAAGAAAATTGTTCATTAGTGAGAGGTAAAACCGTCACTAAAACATCAAAAACCATCCTAAAAGACTCTTAATGACGGGAAATCTACCGTCACCACCCGTCGTTATTCTTTCCGCGGTTAAAAATAAATAATGACGGGATATAATACCATCATTAATAAACATATAGTTATAGTATATTTACCGTCACTAAAACGCTCTTTTTATGACAGAAAATCCCGTCACTAATACAACTACTCACTAGCATAATTTCCTCTCGTTATATTCTTGTAATGATGGAAAATCCTGTCATTAATATTACTATTTACTAACAAAATTTTTCCTCATTATATTAGATTTTACCCGTTACTAAAAATGGTAATTTAGTGTCAAAAATTGTATTGGTAAAAATTTTAAGATTTATAACATAATGCAATCAAAGTAAACTCGATCAATATATTAAAAGACTTCATCATCACTACCAAAATGAAATATTTCATACAACTTTGTAAATACTAAAGACAAAGAAAGTAATTATAATAAATAGCCATAGTAATGTATCTATTGGCTATTTTGCCTCAAGTTTTTGCATTTAAACTAATTTTGCCTCAAGTCTTGGAAGAATAGTGGTGCGCTCAAACCCCTGCTTATTTTGGTAGCCAGGAGACTACACATCTACAAACCACTGAAAATCCTGCAAAATTTGCAACAATTGAAGCAGAGAACATAATTAGCATAACCAAAGACAGAAGCAACGAACATTTCTTACTAGTTTTCTCTTAAAGAAATCATGATTGCACTGACCTTGAACAAGAAAGAGCGATACCCTTGAGTCTTGAAATCATAGTGGCTTGAAACTTCAAACAATTTGCTCTTGTTCACCAGCGATTCTCTCAGGGAACAGATCAACAATTCCCACATCTGTGTATATTGTACTAGTTACCAGTTCAAGCAGTAGAACTCCTGTTCATTGTAAAATCAAATCCAAATTACACTTTGGGCGATGAGCATTTGTATTGCAGCACCTTAATATGGAATTTGGGGTGTAAACTGTGTACATATAAATGTCTCTATATATTCACAAGCAAATAACCAGGAAAAAAAGTTCATAAAAATATAAATTTGATGGAAGTATCTTACCAACCCAATTCCCGGCCTACACCATAAACAAAATGCCCAATCACCAAAATAACATAGACTGGTGCGATGCAATTATTAAGGTTCTAATAAGATATAGTATAGAAGGTAACATCAATTCCCTTCTTTGTCCTACAATTTAATATAATGATATAGAATTCATATGGTGAAATATGAGATCAATTGTTGGCATGAAACTATTCATTGTAGAAGTTAAAACTAACGAATGATGAACTGAGTTGCAGAATACCATCGCAATGCAGTATACACCTCTATAATGAACTATAAGCTTATCCCTCAGAAGTGCACCATGTCTTTCTCTTCAATAGTAGCAGACATAGTACTCCAAGCTTCTAACATGTTAACCTCTTCAATATTAGAACTTTAACCTATTAACCTTAATAGGTCATATCCGTGTTTAAATAAAGTAATTAAACCAACACATAATGTTACGCTAACCTCATACTACCGAAGATGAAGAAAAAGAAGTTAATCATTAAAAAACCATTCTCCATTAACAATGTGTGCATCCTGATTGTGAAAGCCTGCAACATGTGTTTTGTAATGGGGAAACTGCAAAGAAAGTATGGTCTTACTTTTCTAGATCTTTGGGCTTAGGAATCCAGCTGAGAAGAGTGAGACAAGTCTGCTTTGACTGGTGGGGAAAGAGACATAAGAACAGGTTGATAAAATATATGGCTGAGAGGTTGCCAATGCTTATGTTGGTGATAATGAACCAAAAATCGATTTAATATCGTAAAATAATATTTATATATACACACACACGAAGTATATAAAATATTATTCGATATATTATATCCGAAATATATATATATATATATATATATATATATATATATATATATATATATATATATATATATATATATATATATATATATATGCACACAAATATATATATAAATCAGACCGCCATGGTTATATGCATGAATATCTACGGAAAAGATATATACATATCAACCAAATGGAATTTATAATACACAGATTATAATTCCAACCAAACTATAACATTATAGGAGGATTTTTGCTTAGAAGCATAATCCAAAATCGAAAGAAGGAAAGATTGGCTCGTGTTTGGATAAGGGTTTTTAGCGTGAGTCAAGAGACCACTCTTTCCTTAAAACCTTATTTGCCACCTCCCAAAAGTGCTAGGAGCGCCGTGGCCTAGGTTTCCCAGAATAAAACGCGCTACGGTTCGACGTTTGAGCATCCAAACGAACGAACCCGGCGAACTAGAGCAAAGCCTTGAACACAGTTCGGCTTAAGAAAGGAGTAGAAGCAGAGTTTTGAGGAGAGAAAACACTTCTTGTGTTGTGTGTTCTTGTCACTATTTCCTTAGTAAAAATTCTGCTGCACTCTACCCCTTCTTATATTGGGAGTGAGGAGTGAATAGCCTTTATTATGGCATTTAGGGGCATCCCTACAACTCTTGTAACATCCACCATTTACTTAGGTTTTAATTCAAAAATTGAAATTGAAATTAATTCAAAAATTAATTTCATAACAGCTGAATTAAATCCCAACAGTCACAAAAGAGTTTTCGGTTCGTGTATACTGCACAGTTTCGGCTTATCCTGCTCAATGTTTCGGCCACTGCCAATTTGCAATGAAATTGCAAATCCGAAACTAATAACAACAATAGTTTCGGCCAAGTGTGGCCGAAACTAGCAATAACAACACGAAATTTCGTGGCTTTGTCAAAAAATGAACATCAAAGTTTTAGGATTTGATTTGCACTCTCCCTGTGCACAAGAGAAAGCCTCTATGCTATACAATTCAATAAGCTTAACAAGAGCTCATGGTATAAATAGTGGGGCAAATCCTCTTCCCAAACCAATGTGGGACAAAAGCTCACTTTTTCCCTTCATTTTCCAACTCAAATGGGTCTACTTTGAGAATCAATATCTTATTCACCCATTATCCGTTTTGAGCGTACAATATATCAATCTCTTCGTCTCACTACGAAGAACCCGAATCCACTTTGACTCGACCCAAATCGGAAGTGGACCCCACTGATAATTGTACCACAAAATAGCCACTTAAAATGCCATTTTATGCCATTTCAAGCTATTTTTCCAACAGCTTATTCTGTGGGAGCTTTGGGTACACATGAACCAGTGCAAGCATGGAGGGGAAAAGATCTCTAAGGCTAGAATCATTTTCAAAGTTGCCAAAGGGATTGCAGACTGTATCAAGAGGAGATGGCCATCTTGGGATCCTTTCCCACCAAACTGGACCTTTATTCTGAAGAAGGCACAGGGGTTTGGTTGTGCAAGAATTGTGAGAAAGATGAGCTGGAACGAACCACCACATGGATGGATAAAAGTTAATATTGCTTATGTGGAAGAGTGTTGCTGCTTCTTCATAAGGAACACTCAGGGGGAATTTCTTTTGGCTGGGATCTATTCTGGTCTTGGAAATGCACTGGAGCAGACCTTGAGGGATTGTTGGGAGTGGTGCAGAAGGAGAAATATACAGCAGATACAAGTGGAAATTGATGAGGATTGGGGCAGCCTAATGGGGTCTCAACCTGATAACCTCAGAGTTATATGGTTGAGATGTGAGACAAAAGTAAACTGCATTGCTCAGTGTCTCTTGGAGAGATGCAAAGGGCAGAACTTGGTCTTCTACAAGGCTGGTGGCCTTCCCTCTGGTTTCCTGAGATTGCTAACCCTAGAAGGGCTTCCCCATTTTTTGATCTTCCCAGGTGTTGATGTGATCAGGTCTCTCCCACTGTTTGGCAGGGAATGGGACCCTGGGATATGAACTGCGGAGTCTACCACTATGACTCCTTAATCTGTTGATGCAGTTTGCAATCTGAAGCTGGGAAAGCCAGTAGCAGATGATGGAGTTGTTGCTATGCCTGCTGTCTGGAGGCTGCCACTAAAGAAACCTGATGTTCTGCAAGCTAAAAAGCAAGTCTGTCTCCCAAAGCAAAAAGCTTGATCTCTTTTTGTATAGCTTGGTAAGTGCAGCTGGCCTTTGGTCTGTGTTATTGTTGGTGGTTTTTATTTGGCATGCAGGTTTGAACACCTTGATCTATCAAGACTTCTACTGCTTAACTCATGAGATAAAAAAGGCTCCTTATGCAAATGTGGTTTCTGATCACATTAGTAAAGGTCCTGGCTTGTGAAGTTAAGAGTGGTGTCCTTGGCTAAGTCTTGGGGAATGCTTGTTTAATGGTTGTCTATGATTGCCAGAACTTGAGGATCTTGCCATGACTCTAGGATGTGAGCTCTAAGTGGGGGCTGGGCTTGTGGTGTGTGGGATAACAAAGAAGGTTTTGTGGATGGAAAAGAATGGATAAAAGTATGGTGCTGGATGAAAACAAAATAAAACAAAATAAAGAAAAAAAAGAGAATGAAAAGAAAGATAAGTTGTAGAAGCTTGTCTGTGGTGTTGGAGGATAGTTGTTTGGTTGAGCTTCTCTATTGCTTGTTCCATGAGGGTAAGTGATCTCCTTATGCAAATGCTTTGGCACGAGTAAGGGGCATCATCTCATGGGATGAGGGTAGAGGCTCTAGGTTACCATTGCTTGGCCCTTAAGGTCAAATGATCTCCTTATGTAAGTGTTTTAACACCAATAAGGGGTATCATCTTTTGGGTTAAGGGTGGGTCTCATTGCCTAGAGTGGGGACATAAGTGGCCCCCTCGGTTAACACACAGAGCTCTGTGCGGGGGGTTGATCTTGTTGGAAAAATAGCATTAAAATGGCATTTTAAGTGGCTATTTTGTGGTACAATTATCAGTGGGGTCCACTTCCGATTTGGGTCGGGTCAAAGTGGATTCGGGTTCTTCGTAGTGAGACGAAGAGATTGAGATATTGTACGCACAAAACGGATAATGGGTGAATGAGATTTTGATTCTCAAAGTAGACCCATTTGAGTTGGAAAATGAAGGAAAAAAGTGAGCTTTTATCCCACATTGGTTTGGGAAGAGGATTTGCCCCACTATTTATACAAGAGCTCTTTTTAAGCTTATTGAATTGTATAGTATAGAGGCTCTCTCTCGCGCAGGAAGGGGGGTGCAAATCAAATCCCAGAATGAGATCGAAAAGACTTGCGTTAAGCCTAATCTCGTGTGCGGAGTCTCGATCTCATTTTCCAACTCAAGCCACCACGAAGTGAAATGGTTTCACTGTTACTCAAGCCACCACGAAGTAAAATGGTTTCACTGTTTCGTGTGGCCACCACGAAAGTGAAACATTGTTTCACATTTCGTGGGCCACAACGAAAGTGAAACAGTGAAACATTTGATGTTTCAAAGTTTCGGCTGTGGCCGAAACATGGAGCAACATGGGTTCGGCCTTGGGAGCCGAACCAGCAACAGGCTTTTTGCCTTCTGCTTTTAGACCATTGTGAGATTAAATTCAACCGTTACGGAATTAAATTCTCTATTAATTCCAATTTTTAATATCTGAATTTAAATCTTGGATAATGGCCATGTTGTTTCAAGAGTTACAAAATTGGTTTTAAAACCAATTTAAATGCCATGATGAATGCTATTCATTCTTTGATCCCTATATAAGAAGGGGTAGAGGGAGCAGATTTTAGACAAGCACATAGCGACAAGAACACACAACACAAGAAGTGTTTTCTCTCCTCAAAACTCTGCTTCTACTCCTTTCTTAAGCTGAACTGTGTTCAAGGCTTTGCTCTAGTTCGCCGGGTTCGTTCGTTTGGGTGCTCAAACGTCGAACCGTAGCGTGTTTTATCCTGGGAAACCTAGGCCATGGCGCTCCTAGCACTTTTGGGAGGTGGCAAATAAGGTTTTAAGGAAAAAGTGGTCTCTTGACTCACGCTAAAAACCCTTATCCAAACACGAGCCAATCTTTCCTTCTTTCGTTTTTGGATTATGCTTCTAAGCAAAAATCCTCCTATAATGTTATAGTTTGGTTGGAATTATAATCTGTGTATTATAAATTCCATTTGGTTGATATGTATATATCTTTTCCGTAGATATTCATGCATATAACCATGGCGGTCTGATT